CCCCCCCCCCCTCTCACTCTCTCTCTTTTCACACGCATGTTATGCATATCCTTATAATTAATGGATAAAGATACGTATTGTCGTCCGAGGAAAGGAAGCGGATACATTGGATTCGACAGAGCCGACGTTGGTGAAACCGGATGCTAATCCCAATTTAATCCGTCGTCCAGTGTTCCTCAGCATCGGAGGCGCACCTGCTTGATCTCTATTGCACAAGTTACCACGAGGGAGGGACATTAACAACTATTGCACCAATCGTGCGTGATCACACGTACGGTAACGACACGCGACGAACGAGCACCGAAATGGAATTCGCATTGCACAGGTCGTTTCCTTCATCGACGGAGGGCTCCTCGTCGCGCCCATGTCGCGCTCGTCAAGATTGGAACACTGAAGCGCGCACGTCGCGGAATTGTTGTATCCTGTTTTGAGGAGAAGGAAGAGTAGGAAGGAGGAAGGAGAGCACGCGCCGACGAGTGAGTTCACTCGAGTTCGCTCACACATCTCTAACCGGTCATTTTCGTTGCATTACAGCGAGACAGAATGTGGATCGTACGAATAAAGGAATCGCGCCAAGTAGCAACGCATTAATTAAATATTAATAAAGATTAATCGATCAAGGCACTTGATCTTACTTAAAATATTTGACTCTGTAAAATGCTAAAAACTGCTAAAACAAAAATATAAATTTATATAAAATTATATATGTGTGTAAATATATATATATATATATATATATATATATAATTATAACAAGAATATAAATCTATAAATATATAAAGAGACGCACAGAGATATAAATTACATAAAGACTTCTTTCTGCAGGGAAAAGTTATAGCTTTCAACTTGCAGCAGTTTTTGTTGATATCTCACTTAGTTAATGTCAGATTTTACTAATAAAGCGTTTGCTTCGCCTTTATTCGCGCGTCCCACGAGATATTCGACGCATCACCTTCAACCCGAGGACGACTTCGGCGGAAGTCGACGTATTCCGTGCTTCAAGTGTATCCGAGAAACATCGCCGAATCGTTTTCGGTAAGTGATCATCGGAGCAATGTGTATCAGTAGATCTGTTCTTTCTGGCTGAACTGCCAGAACTGCACACTGATACAATAAATTAGAGCGAAACAAAATATATTTGTCTCACTCTAATTTATCGCACCAGTTCAGGCGATTCAGCTGAAAAGAACAGACTGAGTCACTTCGCTTGACAGCACGAAATCGAATCGACAGTCGCGACGAGATCGGGCTGCCTTCAAAAACTCTACTCGACGGGTAGAACAACATTTAATTGACTGATCAGAATAAAAAAACTAAGATCTCTTTATCATGATTGATTAGTTGAATGTTATTCTTGCGTAGAGTAGAATTTTGAAACGTAGCCATGAAGGTGCGATCGATTACACGCGACCGTGCGTGGTCTCAACCCTTCAACACCGCGAAACGACCTTTTTCTTTCCATACATTTACGCTAAAAGAGTAAAGAGCTAAGAGTAGAGTAAAGGGAATAATCGGATCCCCGCGCTCCAGCGAACCAGCCCGCCGACTGGACTCGATTCGCGTGAATCCGAGATAATTGTGTAGTTGAGCTATACATTCTTTCGCTAGCCGTGTCGCTCGATTAACAACTCGCTGCAGCGTTAACGAACGACATCTCACTTATATATCTACATACTTCTATGCATATGTATCGTAAGAGTCACTAAGTGCTGATTCGTTGATTAATATATATTGGTATATAACATATATATATATATTTTTTTTTTTCTCTCTCAACCGGCGATGAACGCGGATTAACGAACGAAATGATAAAATTTACCCGGCAAGGGAGATGAGGGAGAAGCGAGAACTTAACGGAAGACTTTCGTAATATTTGCTGTTGTCACACACGGTTGCGTTTCAACACAGGAAACGCGAGAAGACACTACAGAAACTGGACGAACGTTCGAGAGAACGAACAAAAGAACACGGGGATTTGACAATGACTCGAGTTCGCGAGTAACGATATGCAAAGGATAGATTTAAAATATACACGTAGGATAAAACGTCCCATTTATTGATCCACCTTAATCGTTGACAAGGTCTGGTTTTTCTTACGATCAATGGTGGTTCTTTACAGTTTCAGTTGGGGAGTTTTCTTCCGGAGTTATTGAGTGCAAGCAGGAAATTTAACTGAATTAGTCAATGACTAAGGGGATGTCAATAATTGGGTATTTTATCTTGACACGTGTATGTACACATACATATGTACGTACGTATACACGTACACTGCATACGTACACGTATACAGGGTATCTCGTAACTGACAGTGCAGCCGGAAAATGAGTAATTCTACGTGAAAAAACGTGCGCACAGAGACAACACTTAGGCTGCATTCCGATACTTACTGCCAGTATTGAAAATCTATAGTATACGCAATATGAACTATAAATTTTCAGTACTGGCAGTGGAATATCGGAACGCAGCCACAGTCGCTGATTAAAAGGTCCACCATAATTTTTGGAGTGAGTTTGCAAACTCATCCCGAAAATTATGAACAACATTTTAGCGCCAGTTTCACAATCCGGTTAGCTTAACTAGCTTTAAATGTGTACGGTGATTGGTTAATTCTGGTCAATTCTGCTTAACGACAAATGCGATTGATCAATTGCAATGGAATAACTCAGCCAGTTAAGTTAACCGGAAATTATAAAACTGGCCTTTAGTCCACGACTGTACGTCGTGGCACAAGATCTTCAGAAGATGTCCTGGAGATGTTCTCAAGATGTCTTTGGGATTCTGTGGAGATCTGTTTGAGCAATAACGTCACTTGATTCTAGATATGGTTAAGTGCTGACGAATAATAATAGAGTGCTGTTTTCCTTGAAAACAAAGCACTTTCTGTAAAAAAAAATGTATTCTACATTTTCGACTTCTTTCTTTCATGTAGAATCACACTATCTTGCCGGCTGCATCGCTAATTACAGAACACTCCGTGTACATACATATATAAATTTCCTTCATCTCATTCATCTTTTAAAACTTAAATTACATAACATATACGTAAAACGAGCGTCGCGTAAAATTCGCAGAGATAAAATTAACACAGAGAGGCGCATAGCCTGCTACAGAACTCCAAGCCCGGCTTCAAGAAGGTCCAACGCACTCTCAACGGCGTGCATGAAGGCATGAGTTGGAGCGCGAAGTGCGGGCTGTGCCCTCAAACGTTACCTGTCGCGCTCTCGGCGCGATTGACAGGAATAATTATTTTATCTACGTTCTATAGATAATTTACATAGTTCGTGAGACGCGTCGAATTCGAATCGATCGAACTCGATCTTCAACTTTCACAGGCTCTCTGAGCTCGATGAGGATCAGGGCAACCGAACGCGGTAACTGTCGTTACAGCGTGGGACATTACTAGCGCGTGACACAGTAATTATAAAGAAATAATAAAAAAAAAAAGAAAAGAAAAGGGAAATTGGGAGGGAAAGCGCGATACACGTGTCTCATCCGTACACAGGGGGGCGTATCGGAACAAACGACGAGAGAGAAACGCCGCTGTGCGCGCGAATGCGACACACACAATCGGCTCTTATCTATCTCTAGACTAGAAAGAAACGCGCCGCTTTCGCGCGCGGGCGACGCATCGAAAGTTTCATACGTGTGGACGAAGGTTCCCCCCGGAGAAGAGAGATGTGGAGAGCGTGGTGACGCGCCGTGCATCGCTTTGTGGACAAATGTTCCTCGGGAATCTGGAAGGCGAAAGACCTTCGCTCTCTCTTCCTCTTTTCCGTGTCTCTCATCCGTCACACTCTTCCGCACGATACAATATATGCCGTACACGTATACATACATACATATCTCAGCGGTTGTGCGAGGTCTCTCACTAAGAAAAAAGTCGCTAAAGTCTCGTCGACGACGGGGACGAGATTCGCGTAGGCGCAGTCGACTTTATGTCAACTTTTCAGCGCGGAAAGCGTCGACACGCGACGGACAAGACGCGGTCGCTCGTCTCAACTTGGGATTACAATGACCTAGGATTACAAGGAACCAGGTCAGGGATCGGCAAGAGGATCTCCAGACAGGCGGATCAAACCATAAAAACCTCGACGAAGGGATTGCACTCGGTTTGCGGTGGTGGCAGCGCGGCCATCCGCTTCTCCAGCTCCACCCGTGGTAGATACGCCTCGATACGCGCGTCGGCCGCTGTCGGAGTGGACGTCGACACCGTCGCCCCGGGTGCTAGCTGCAGACATTCCGCTGGTGCTAACTGAAATCATATGATTTAATCAGTACAATGTCAACAATAAAAAATATTAAACATTTTAGGTGCATTGCCTGAAGAATCTTTAACAGTGATTCGTCAAACGTTCTATATTTAATTCTGAAGAACGCGCGCATACAGTGGAAAGATAATTTGCTTGGAAGGTAAAATTTATCTAGAGAGGCAAACACGCAGAAAAATATTATTTAACGACTAAGAAAAGCGATTATTCAATTTACTTTCTTTTTCTTTAATAATAGTTATCTTCTACAAAGAATATTTTCTTGATAATGGTCTTATAAAGGTGTGAAAATTATTAGAATAAATCTTGATTTCTTTATTAGTGATTTCTAATTATTCTTTTCAATAAATGTCTAATTTCAGTAAATTACAATTCTGTAAAATATGCTCATCACAAATAAAAAAAACTTATTGTGTACTCAAAAGAAGAATTTCTTCTCTTCACAGGAATATTATCAAACTTTACCACAGAATTCGACTTTTGTTTTGCTTATGTAATAAGCAAAATAAATTTTTGCTTTAATTTAATGTTTCTGATTGAAATGTTAGACATACCAGGACTCAGAATGTGTTTTGAATGTGTTTTGATACTTATGATGAACTTCAGATAGATTTGCGGACATATAAACTTGTGAGATACTTGAAGCAAGTAATATTTACTTGAATGCAGTGTGTATTTTTCTGTGTGCAGTCATGATGAAACACTAACGAGATTCACTTACCAGAGCCGCTTGCTGAGGGATCGGTGCGATACCGCTGACACTCGCGGGAGTGTAATAATTGGTCGGGCTGACCGGCGGCGAGGGGTAAGGCCAGTAGAAGATGGGCGGTGGATACGGCGTCGTGAATTGCGGCGGGCCGCGCGGTAACATCGCGGCCGCAGGCGGGAATATCGCGACCGGCGGCGGCGGCAACATCGTGCCTCCTACAGAAAGAGGAACCAGGTAAGTGCTCAACGTTCGGATCAGAGCCCTGATTCTCGAAAATATATCGCATACGACATTTAGTGAAAAGCTATAGTATACGTAACATGAACTATAGCTTTTCACTAAATGTCGTATGCGATATATTTTCGAGAATCAAGGCCCAGGACGATAATAATATCACGGCCGTTCAAGCGGCTCGTTCGAATCGATGCGTGCAAAACAGCGGGAAGCTCGTTGGAATTTGTCGTGAGACAAGCGCGGACGCCTCGATCTGATCTTAGAAGGTCGCGATTTCGTGCCAGGTGCGAGAGATACCGCGCGATATCAGCTCTCGCAGATCTCGCGGGATCACGGATTTTTGTAATAATAATAATAATAATAATAATAATAATCGTGTTGTTCGCACAGAGAAAGAGAAACAAAAAAGAGACTCGTAGTACCCACGATTTTCCGTCTATGTATGTACAAACGTAAAGAAGAGTGCCCGCTAATGTAACCACTCCACAATTACGACGAGTGACATCGTGCAGATCCGCAGGAGTTTCTAGAAGCACACAAAGCGATCGTTTAGTGATGCGCCAAGTATATCAGTCGACCATAATCAACAGCTAAGTGTCTGCGCGCTACGAAAGTGAATTAGTGCTCTTTCTCTCTCTCACTTTCTCTCTCACTTTCTCTCCCTCCCTCTCTCTCTCTCTCTCTCTCTCTCTCTCTCTTTTTCTCATTGTGGCAAGAACCACCAAAGTTTTGTGAGTTCGCGCAACCCTTGTCGCGCCGATCCGCACGATTTCACTTTCAACTTAGACTGCTCTTGTACGATACGTGCAAAAAGAGGTATCGTGTGTGTATGTGTATCTTTCAAATACTCAGGCTGAATACTTTTCGACATTTAACGTGAACCTGAAATTCTTAGACAATCAATTAGGGGAGTTCAATTGAACGTGAAAAAATTTTAAGCGAAATTTGAAGAGAATACCACTCACTATCGCACAAATTTTGCGCGATGCGTGGACGAATTCGTAACATAATTCGTAATATAAAGCCTAACGAATCTCTTTGCATTTGCCCGGAACGTACAAGAGACGGTGATCCAAAGGAATAATGACTTGGACTTGTCCTACCTGGAAGCACAGAAGTTAGTATTTGTAGGTCCCGCTACCATAACAGCAATCGACACTGCACCATTGTAACACGATATATATATGTATATCTTTATATATATATATATGTAATGCAGCACCAACTTGCGATTTCGCCCCTCTGCCAAATCACCAGATACACGCAGATTCTCTCTCTTTCACTCACTCTTTCTCTCTCTCTTTCTCTCTCCTCGTCTATCTTCCCCTTTCTCCCTCTCTTTCTCACCCTCTCTCTCTCTCTCACTTCCTTCTCTCTTGCCCAGCGAAAAAGCTATTTTGCGTGCGACTTTTTTCCGTAATTAGGCGGCGAAAAGTAAAGCCTGTATGCGTATCGTTTAATTGCTTCTTTTCAACTTGACAATATGTTTCATTAGAAAAACACGATATGTTTCCATAGAGAATTCTTCTATCTCCGTTATAATTAGGCTTAAACGATTGTGACAGTCAGTGACACGTGACTAATATCTAAATAATAAAAAATATTTATTCCATAGGTTCTCTAATAACATTTACTTATACTAATTCGCATATTTTTATATCGAGGAAAAATTTCTTTAAAATGAGGAAATATATTTTTTTTTCACACACACACACACATACACACACACACACACACACACACACACACACACACACACACACACACACACACACACACACACACACACACACACACACACACACACACACCGTTACTTTTCACGAAAGCGATGATTTATTCTATTTAAACAAAAGAATTTAGAATTAAGTGGACATGTTAGTAATACCCTTGGAATAAATATTTTTCAGATATTTTTTTCTCAGTATGTAAAGTTTCTGATAGCATTTTGTGAACATTTGAATCGCGAGTGTGCAAATAAAAGTATTTCAAAGTAGTAGTTTCTTAAAACAAATGTTCTGATAAGCGGGGACATAATACGAATAACAGGCCATACGTTCCGCGCGATTCAACGTGGACTTGTGGATCGTTTGTAGGGATTCAGAGGAGAAACGTGACACGATACGGAAGAGAAGTAAAGATACGCTAGACTACCGTTAGTCTCTAGGCCGCTGGGACGATCGGCATAGCAAAAAGCAATGGTTCATAGACACTTGCCACATTGAGGGATGACTTCCGGTACCGTTAGGCTCAGAGTAACTCGAGAACCTCTCAGCGGCTGTGAAGCCGGCTGATAAAGCTCATCGATAATCGATACTTCTGAGAGAGAGACACGGACAAACAGGAAGAGAAGACACACCTAAAGATTAGTCTTCCGACTGGTGACTGGAAGGAATCCACGTACAAAGATAGAAACGGACAGAGAGGAAGGAAAGACAAAGAGAGAAAGAGAGAGAACCTTTGCGCGAGAGAAGGAGAGAAGGAGCAACAGGAGAAAAACAACAATAAACAGAACGAGCAAGAGAAAGAGAGAGCTAATAAGAGTTACGACACAGAAATCTCCAACTTGATCTGTAGATACCAAAGATACCTGTGACCCCAATGAAAAAAAATGTATAGAACGTAACAAGATACGATGGTTGCGATCTTCGCGACGCAGTTCCTCCGCCAACCAGTACGCTAGAAGTCGCGTTCCCTCGGCTGTTAATCACCTGATACAAAAACTACGAAACCACTACGAAAAAAAAAAATAAAATAAAAATAAACAGACGCGAGGAGTGCAAATGCACGTGCGATTGCGAAGGAAAACAAAGAAAGCCGGAGAAGCAGATAAGACGCGAAGAGCGCAACCACCGTGCGAGGTAATATAATCAGGGTAAGAGTCCACCAACCCGGCAAGCAAAAAGATATATATGTCCACAAGGCACATTTATTAAACATGATCCTTCTCATCGTTGATATAAAAAATCGTCGAGATACAGAGAGTGTGTATACAGGAGATTAAAAAAAAAAGAGGTTTATACCGACGTAGTGTGTAAATTGTGTGTGTGTGTGTGTGTGTGTGTGTATGTGTTTATGTGAACGTATGCATGGATAATAAACACATGTATGCCGCATGCGTGTCGAGTGCTCCTACAATTTAAACAGAAAAAAAAAATATATATATATACACACACACAGATCTGTGTGTACATATAAAAATAAAAGAATGTAAGATATAATTTCTCTCCATTCGAGTTTCCACTTCCAAGAAAGTCGACGAAAAAATAAAGAGACGATGGATCTCATTTTGACTGACTGAGCTTGCACTCGAAGGACACATCTCTACGCTTCCGCGCGACATACACTTGTACTAAAAAAAAGACACTCCTAAATGCAACCCCGACGGAAACGATGCGAAAGCGGTGTTCAGTGGACGAGGTCCTGCTGTCTCATCTATTGTATGCAGCCTCGAGATCTCTGAAACTTTGCATGTTACGCGACCGTTCATTTTGCGCTGCGATCCACTTCGCATCGCTTCACCTCCGTAATCTATCTCTATGTGGTATCGATTAATGCTATGTAAAGCCGAATCGGAATGTGCGATCCTGATTCCACGATATCTCAAGGATGTCAGAAAAGCACGCCCCTGAACGCTTAATCCCAGGACGCTAATTATCGACGAATTACCGTGAAGCGATCTCGTCCTCTCCTCTCTGTCTCTCTTTCTCACTTTTTCAACGCGCTTGTATGTCGCCGGTAGTTTCGCAGTTAGCGTCCTGCGATTAAAAGAACGATTATTTACTTGCGTAAATTGTGCTCGGCCTTCCTACGCAAACGACCCTCGGTTATCCCTCGAGGTAACACACCATATCTCGAGCACGTTACGTTAATTAATACCAGAAACCGGATCGAATACGTCCAATTATGATAGATACTTTTACTTGCAGCTGCTATAACGGAAATAGAACTAAAAAGGGTGATTACACCAGGGTACTGCTACTCTCCGACTCCTCTATGCGATAATGCTACTGCGTCCTGTGCGAAAAAGTGGTCCCGTGTGTGAGAGATAATTGTAGGGATCGCGCGCATGAGGAAAAAGAAACAGGACATGGGAGAGACAGACAGTGAGAAAGACACTTGCGTTCGCGAGGCCGCGTTACAGCGCGTCGGGAAACAGGAGGAATGTTGAGCAACAACCTCCCAAAAAGAGGAGACAACGTCCGAGGTGGCTGGAGAAGTTACAAACTATGATATATTATATATACGTGGTAATCTCTCACGTGAGAACAGGAAAGATAGATCAGACCCCCGTTATGCAGTCATCATTCGCGAAACGACAGGTAAGACGGAGGTAAGTGTATATCACGGTAATTCGATACTATATATAAATACCCGGTACATCAGCCAACAATAAACATCAATGTTGCAATTTCCTGCTCAACAATGCAAGTGTAATATAACACACGTCGTACATAACAGTTACACTGTTGAAATCAGGTGGACGTGTATAATCCCGAATAGAAAAGTGCCGGAACTCTAAAAGCGGGACGACGTCCCGGAAAGTTACAAAATCCCGCAGACTGAGTACACTGAGAGAAAATGATAGTTGCTTTCGGCGTCAACTATACTTTTTTGTAATTTTAACAAAAATAATTAGAAGAACCATCTTTCTAATAGCACTTACTAAAACAATGATTTTTCTAACTATTTTTGTGGCTAAAATCACAAAAGAGTATAGTTGCCGAAAGCAACTATAATTTTCTCTCAATGTACAGAGACAATCTCCCGAAATGTTGAAAGCAACAAGTTGTCAATAACTTGTTATACAACTTTGTAGGAATCTTCATGCTTTCAGTATTTCAGGAAAATCGTAAATCGTATTATATTCTCTTGATGTCCAGTCTTCGGGACGTCGTCTCATCAGGAAGTGTCATATCATACTTCTCAAATTTTACGATGTTGGTTTTTCGAGATTATACAAGTCCAGCAGAAATTACAACATTGATGTAATGTTACTGTTAGTTGATGTTCATTGGGTATGCGCATTCCCTCACAAACCAACATGACATGCAACCAGTTGTTTGATGTATACCCTTGGACATTATATTTTCGAAGTGTGTAATGACGACCATCTCGCGCGCACAAGTATGTGTGTGTGTGTGTATGTGTGTCTACAACTATCCCATTATTCTAATATTATTCTAATGTGTATGTGTACGAGTGTGTTGTATGCGTGTTCTAAAAAAACGTGGCAAGAGGAAGTGAAGTTTTATCGAAACAGCACTTCGCGACACGCGCGCGACAGAATCAAGATCAACTTCACGAGAGAGGATCTCCTTCTTCGCCTCAGTTCTCTTTCTCAGCTTCTGCGAGCGTTCGCACGCTACATCGCACACACGGCTATTACGGAAGGCTACACTGAAAGTGGAGATAGTGGAAGCTTGTTATTGACATGGCAGTGCGAGATACAACAGTCGTCTACGAAACGGAATCAGCGGAGGAAACCACCCCTGGTGAAGCCGACGCTCGATTCACAGATAGTAACAACAAACACCACTCTCTATCCGTCTCAATGACGATCCTCGTCGTACTACACTATCACAAAGTATTAGGCTGTAAGCCAGCTTGGAGAGATTGAACACCGCCGACACCATAGTTAAATCACAAGCCGTAAGAGTGTATACAACAAAGTCGGCGTTTGCCTCCGCTTTCTTTGCTCCCTCTATCCTTTCTGCCCCCGATTTATCCTCGCAATATCCAAACTCCCAATCGGGTTAATACACACAGTCGTTGTCACCAAGAGATAAGAAAATAACGTAATGTCCATCGCACATTGGACAGCGCGTCCCTGTCGTTGTACGTGCTATCGCTCTTGGTACATTGGCGTACATGTGTGTGAGTGTAATACGTGTATATATGCGTATGTATACGTCTTTCTTTGCAAGGCACGACCAGTTGCTCCAACGAATCCTCTCTCTGTTTCCTACTTATACCACGTATATTAATCTTTTAATTTCAATTGAAGCTTGTATGTCACAATCCATGAGGAAAAGAGGATCGACGGATCCACGAAGAAACCGGTTGCAGACGCGCTCGTTGGGAGCTCATCCGGGAGCAATCTACGAAGAGACTTGATTTACACGTAGATTGTAACATACATGCGCGAAGTAAATAGATGCCACGTGTGTATAAAGAATCTATCATACCTCTGAGATAGAACTTCAGAATGTGTATGTGTATATATATATATATATATATATATATATATATATATATATATAAAACGTTGGATGGAATGTCACTTATCACTAATAAAAATATTACTATCAAAATATATAGATATATGTATATAAATCATTCTTATATAAATATATGTGTTTTTTTGTATGTATATATGTATATATATGTGAGTGTATAGAAATGACTGCTTTTCTCCGGCCACACCGACAACCACTTTCCGGAATAGCGAACACTCTGGTTGCGTACTTCTCACCGCGGATACACCCTCAACGACACACCAAACATCGAAGTCACGAGCGTCTGCAGACACGCGAACCTTAACAGCACTTTCAAACGATCGTCCTTGCGAAAGGATCGCACACATGCAGAAGGAAATTGAATAGCCGTTCAATGTGACGCTTCAACGTCCGATATATCGAAAATGATGGACCCGTGTTGAAGTGTACCCGAAGGATGTGAATTTGCGTCAACTGAAAATACCCTAACCTTCAAACGAAATCCGGAAACATCATGAATATTCATGAATATTCACCACGACAGTTTGAAGACTCTTCTGTGTACATGCAGAGAAACGTGTCTCGGCGCTCGTCTCGGCTACGAAACGGTTTTTACACTTTCTTCCCAATAAAGTTGTAGCGCTCAAGATTGGTTGCATTCAGTAAAGAAAGCTGCTTTGCAACTGTTGTAAAATTCGTGAATCTGATTGGGGTATTAATTAATTTTGATAGAAACTAATAACAATATACCAATTAGATTCACGAATTTTACAACAGTTACAAAACAGTTTTCTATGCTGAACGCAGCCATTGTCACAATTGCGAGACACCGCTGATGAACTTGCGCAATAATCAGTTACTAACAAAAGACATAGCTGCTAATCGCTGCGTAAATTGGTCAATAGTGGGTTGCAATTATGACAATCTTGATCGCTGCAACTTTATTAGAAAAGAAAGTGTGAAAACTGTTTCGCAACTGAAGGTCTGTTCGAAAAACTTCTGCACCAGTGCAATAAGTTGGAGTGATACTTTCTTTCATTCTAACTTATTGCATTTAGTTCAGAGGTTTCTTGAAAACAAACAGATCTTGAGTGTACACGCGTGTGTACACTTTGGAAAACCGCACCGGATGTTGGGCGTATGTCACTTTTCAGGGAAGGCACTTGATTGCGTTCACATGACGAACGAATGTCTGTTTCTGCACAACATGATCCGATATACGGAGACGCAGATATCCCAACCAAAAGAAAAAAATGTATGATTATTAAAGAAAAGCGTGTAAACACGCTATATATATATATATATATATATAAAATTGTATATATCCTACAATCAAACTTAACATACTTATCGGAGTTATGTACGCTGCCTATATATTTAAACAAAGGAAGATTAAGTCGTTTCGCGAATCACGCGTTAAGTACCGTTGCTAGCCATGCGTAATGCCTGTATCAAACTATAGATTGGAAACTGAGGATTGCGCATTGAAGATTAGAATTTGATCACTTAAAAACAAGCTGAAACCGAAGTTTCTTAATTCGTCGAAATCGAATCTTCAATCCACGATCCTCAATTTCTAATCCTCAGTCTGATATGGGCTTAAGTAACGGCCAAATTTGTACGAAGCGTTTCCAAACGTTAAGGTACTACATGTAAGTTGACAACGTTACTCCTAAGTTCGTTGCGACATGCCTTCAGGCAACATCGCGAAGAAATGTTCCGTCAAACTCGTCGGGAATATGAAACGGAATGTCGTGAACGTTGCGGAAAGTTGGTGGAGCTCGCGCCCAAAATGTATATATAAATCTGTCGGTAAAGTAACGTATATTGTAATTATTGGCGAGACGATCACCGAACTGACAAGTCGAATGATAGTATATGCCCGATTATGATAAAGAGTCGCTAATAATAAAGTTACTTTCCGAAGCGGGACGCGACATGTTCGTTTCGTCCAAGTGTAGAACCCGGCGTTGAGAAGAAAAGCGAGGACGCCGGGGGTCTTAGAAGAACACTCGGTGCTCGACTCAACGGTGTCAGATTTGAGGGTAAAATTGCGGAGGATAAGGCAAGGCCGGCGCCGCGGTTGGTGCGGCCGCGTGAAACGCCGCTGGCGGTGCGTGCCAGGTCGCAGCGCGCTTCGCGACGCTACCGGCCGCGTCCGTCGGGAATGCGCTCTCCCATGTTCGCTTCAAGCCCATCAACGCGGCGTGGTTTAGCGGCGCGGTTTGCATAATAGCAGGCGGCAACAGTCCGTGCGGCGTCGGCGCCCGCAAGATAGGAATGCGAGGTGGAAGAGGATTGAAGAGCAAGAACGGCGCTGCCGAGGTCGCGGGCTGCGCGACGGCCGCGGCATGATGGTGATGAAGTGCAGCGGCCGCCACTGCGGCTGCTGGGGGTGTCACCGCATAAGCGGGTAACTGGGCCTGAGCCGGACTCGGCGCAGCGAGCGCCAAGGACTTGCTCGTCACGGCCGGGGTGGGGGTAGTCGAGGTAGGAGGCGGGTTGGACGCGAGAGCCATCAGCCAAAAGTCTGGATTCCTGATAGCCGCCTGTGCCTGGGCCACCTGGGCTTGGGCCGCTTGCGCCTGGGCGACCTGCGCCTGGGCTACTTGTGCCTGCACCAGAGTGTGAATGTCCCACAGTTGTGGCGGCGGCGGCTGCGCGGCCGGTACTGGCATAGGCACCGGCGCGGCCGGAGGCGGATGTGTCAGTGTCGCGGGGGCTTGTGTGGTTAACGTACCGGGTGATGGCAGAGGTGTGGTTGACGGCGGTGTTACCGCACCTGTCAATACCAGACTCATATCGTCGCCGCTGCACTGGAACACTTCGATGTAACGCTGCTTCTTGCCGAAGATCATGTACCGGTGGTGCCGCTGCGACGCGCACGCGTACGCTGACGCCTCGCTGTCCATTTGAATGAACGCCTCGCCGGACGGTTGACCCTGGCGAGGTAAGAGAACGGGAGAAAATGAGTGAGTGAAGAACTCTCTTTGCGAACGCAAAGATGTGTCCTGTACGGTGCGATTACAAGATATATACTTGGGCATTGTAAACCATATGGACGCCTTGAAAGACGATATTCTTCGAATGTTCGCCCATAAACTCGAGGATGTGCTCCACCAGTGCTTCGTAAGGTAGTCCACGGAGCCTCACGCAATCCTTACGTGTGCCGCATGTGATGATATGTTGAGGAATCATTGAAGGCAGTTGCACGATACGCGGTGGTGGTTGTACCACTTGCTTCGGATCAATCGCCCTGTTCAGCACCTGTGGGCATTAAGATCAGAGTATGAATAACAGCTCTCACACTCGCTTGTCGTCGAGATATTTGCCTGCGAGAGATACTCACTTGTTGCACTTCCGCGGTTGTACTTCGAAACAGCTCTATGTACCGACTGCCGATGCAGTCTCTGTGTTTACTCAATGCCTTCATAGCATCCTCCTCCTTGGCAAACAGAACGAAAGCGTCACCGGTCGCTCTGCCGTCGGGTTTCTTCACAAACAACACCCCGTCCTCGCCGTCCAACACGTGGCATGGCTTTTGTCCCGACAGGAAGAATTCCAGCTGTGAAGGCAAAGCGATGTGTATAGCGGCAGGACAGAAAACAATGCGTACGTAATCGAAAAGCTCATTAATGCCATAAGGAATCTTTAAATCAGTTGAAACAATTATATACCACTTGTTTAGCAACACAATCATACGGCAAGCCCCGCATTCTAACGATGACTTCAGCCCCGCGTGACAGAAAAGCGTGCGCCTCCCCGCTCGTACCACCAGCAACGCCAACAAAGTCCTCTCCGGAGGCTTTGTAAACTTCTATGTATCGTGCACCCATGTGATGTTTATGCCGCTTCAGCGCCATGTCTCTGTGTTCTTTATTAATAAACCGTACCAACGCCTCGCCGTTACGCCTTCCCATAGGACTTAAACAAAGAGCTACACCACCCCTAAAAAAGTTATTACACCACTGTTAGCGTAAAATGTTGCGCTCCAGCAATCAGCTTTCTCTTTCACACAACGCACACACACGCACACTCTCTCTCTCTCTCTCTCTCTCTCTCTCTCTCTCTATTATTCTCTCTTACTATATATGTATGTAATATTACGAACATCGTTAGAGAATTTGTGAAGATATCAATATTAAGGGGAACTCTACAAGAATTCTAATGTCGAGTTTATAACAGTTAGATCCACAGAGCATACGAAATCCATGACTCCAGATAATGCTTATCACTATATACAACAGCTAGTAGGAAAGCAAGTAGGAAAAGACCTCTGAAGTCGTATTTGTTATATCATGTAGGAGAAACTAGGGCAAAAAGGAGAACGACAGATTGAGCTTATGCGCTTCTAAGTGCATTATAAATGCGCTAAATATCAATTACCTGCTTTACACAGATCCATGTGGCTTGTGCAATAAATACCAAAAAGACAGTTAGAAGACAATTGAGACGTTTCATCGAGGTTTCGTTAGTTGTATCTTAATCTTGTCTATGTGTATGTGAATCTCAACATGTGTATTCAACTACTCACTTGGCGACATTTAGCCCACGAAAAAACTTGGCGATGTCTTGATCTGAGGATTGCCAAGGGAGACCACGCGCTCGCACTACACAGTCATTCTCCACTTCCTCGTCTTTGGAGCTGAAGACAAGTTTGCGTCGTGTTATATATACATCAAAATCAGATGATAAAGATATTATAGATATGTACACGTTGCACACATCATGTATTAAGAAAAGTACACATTCACGCATGAAATTCTCTAACTTACCATATGCCAGGCTCTAAGACGATGTTAACTACTTCTGGATTTTGAAAAACGTGACCTGAAAAATGCAAACATAAATTTCCTTGATCAGACATGTGTATATTATATACAGTCCGCCAACGAAAACTTTCCACTCCGATTATTTGACTTGCTGTTTAAGATTTTTTGAGAAATAGCTGTCCCAATTAAGGGGATAAAGTGATATAGTTAAATTTATCACAATCATATAGCTTCTTTGAAAATAATATTAACGTGTATTAATATCCCTGACAAAAGTCAATTACAGAATAATCGGGATGGAAAGTTTTCATTGGCAGATTCTGTATATTCAAACAAAACGGCTATACGCGCACACGTCTCAAACCTATTTCTTTCAACTGTAGTTATATTTTTGTAGTTGAAAATTAAATTGGCGTGTTCCTAGGATCTGCAGACGAGAAACAGGGAGGAAAAAAGCGCAAGTAAAAGTGCAAAAAGTCCAACTGAAAGAAACGAACTTCGAAAACAATAACTTTAAAAATCGACCGACTTCAAGGAACGTTTATTGTGGATTTATCAACAAATTACCGATTTTACAAATACGCTCACGAAACAGCAACTTTTCGCGCGGTTCGTCCTTTATAGGAAAAGGAACTGCGATCTATGAGAAACAGTCAGCGTGAAACGCGATTTTGTATACGAAACATCGCGTGTAAAGCACGAAAGCACGCACAGCCTGCCACCGGTAGTAATGTCAATCATAGAATATCGTCAATCATAGGTTGGCTCGTCAGAGGTCCGTCTTACTTTGTTATACAGTATCTTTCGGTTTTTATCTGAAATCCTGAAAAATATCACTTGTGATAATCGCCCGCGGCAGATTGAAGTGATTTTTCCCGATACTGCAGATTATCAGAGAAGCTGCGACTTTTCACCGATTTGTCGTTTCGTCTCCTCCTTCTCAGTTGTCACGCGAGATATCTTTTTATAAGAAGTAGTATCTTTTTATAAGAGAGCAAAAATGTTATAATTAACACAGTGAATCCAGGAAATAGGAATAGCGCTATCGTGCAGATATCTTGAGCTATACATATACATGCTACGTTCAAGTAAATATTACGTAAACTTGCTTCAAACAATTTATGAGCTTGTATATTATGTATTATAAATCTATCTCATATTAGTTCGTCTATGAGCATCAAATTTATTCAAAATATATTTCAAATCTTAGTAGGTTTAGCATTTCAACCAAGAACTTTAAATTAAAATAAAAATTTGATTAGCTTATACTACATAAAACCGAACCAACTTTTCCTTCGATAAGATTTTATGATATTCTAAAGAGAGTAAAGAGAAGAAATCCTTCTTTTGGGTACGTGATAATGACTTTCGCTGAGAAAAAATACCTGAAAATTTATCTGTGGCGTGTAAAGTTTATTCACAGAAATAAACTTTATATTGCACAAAATTTCAAGTATTTCCTTCCAGTGTTTTCTCAGGTTTGCGATAAGTATATTCGATAAAACATTCAATAAATGTCGAAGAAGAATTCTTTGCTGAAGACAACGAAACTTTACTTCGAAAACGAAAAGTGAACTGAGTAATCACTTTTCTCAGCAGTAGAATGATATTTTTCCGCTGTATAGATGCAACAAACGACTGCGGGGAGAAATAATATTGAACAAAGACACAAGACTTTTCGTGAGTATAAATCCGATTGTGAGCGTTGCCTTCTAAACTTACACTTATGCGTTTCTTCCGTAATTTTATATCCGCCAGTTTGTCTCCGATTTCTCCATACCCGGGCGAAATGACTATTTGATTTGCAAACTCAGCGACGACGCGGCCCGTCGACAAGTAGAAGTGTGTTTTGAGGAATGCACGCGCTAAATCGATCGTCATTTCCTCGATTATTTACCCGTGCAGTCTCGTGCTATTCTCTCGAGTTTTCAAACGTGCGCTCGAGTGGAAAATATATCGCGAGAAATCGCGATGAACAAGCGATAATTACGATGCAAATGTAAAAACTGATTAAACGTGCTCGTGCATTTCAAATACACTGATAGACTCGGTTGAAATCAATAGGCGTCATTACTATTATTAAGCGCGTAGATATTCCAATAAAATCAGTAGGATATGCTTACGATTTTGAAGAAAGGGCGATCATAATTTTCCAATTCTATGTTAAGAGAATTTTATAGCAAAAATTGCCATGAAATTTTGTAAACAAAGAACAGATCAATATTCTGTAGTAATTTATTGTTTTTATTTCATGTGTACTGTTCGTATTTTAGAAAGCAAAGTGTGCAATTAAAGAATTTGCTGTGCCCATAGTAAAATTTACTATATTTCTTCGTCGAATAGAGTTTACTAACATTTTATTTCTACACTGCTAGAAATACAGTAAAATTGAGCAATTTTATATTTGGTGCGCTAAGAAATTGACGATACTAACACAAATAACTCAAATCTTTTAACAATCCAAGTTTTCATATAATTCAAACAAGAAGTCTGGTACTTGAATTTTACTGAAATTGTTTGACAAGTACGATTATTTAATATTTATCTTGTACAAGGGGCAGAGTTTACTCGAATGCATTTCCCTCAAATACATCGAGTCAGTCGATCATTCAGTCGACAATAGGCATCGTTACAATTATTGTGCGCAGATATTCCAGCAATATGGCAAGAACGGTAGGCGATGTCAAAGCGCGACGCGTTTTTTTCACACGTATATTATCGCGATAACATACGCTATCAGTCGTTAAGTAGCCTTCCACGGGTTGAGTGTCACTGTGATAAGAGAACCGCGACACGCTCGAGCTGCTGCTTAGAACGTTGCATAGTTTGATCGGTACTCGTCTCCGATGCAACTGTAGGAACAACGACGCAACGATGACACACACCCAAATCGAAGGCACTCCGAATTTTGCCGAATTTCGACGCAAAAAAATGCGATGGAGCGAAAAATCACTCGCTATTCGCGAATGTATCAAGCGTGAAATTCGCCTCTCTTTCTTTCTTTCTCCCCTTCTTCTCCGAAAGAAGAAACAACACATTCCGAAGATATCTCGCGTTCAAGCGACGAGTTCTCTCGAGCGAGTCTGGAGAGAACAGCGAAGGAAAGTAATTCTTCGACAAGTACCGGCTTAATCACCGGCGCACTCGCAACCTCCAAGGCCATTGCTGCTGTCAGGTGTAAACATGCTGTATAGCATTTGGAGAAATGGGAACATTATGTTGCGCGCACGTATACGTGCGCCGAAACTCGCACGAAATCTTTCTCATGAGTACGAAATTGAAGGAAAAAAAAAGACGAAAGAAAAAGGAATCATGCGTTCTCGAGCGTATTTTCAGGAACTACTCTTGGGTGTGTGTCGAAGTGTTCTTTAAATTTCTTAGAAAGTGGAATCTCACTCGTAACATCTTGACTCCAAGCGACTCCAAATGGATGTACCGCCACACAAAATTGCAAGAGTGAATGTTTCACTCAAACTTAGAGTGGGTCCCGTATGAGCGAATATATGAGCAAATGTTTCAACCGTTTAGAATGATATGTCTCTACATTAGAGAAAAATATCTAAAGAATAAAAATATTTCTTTTCCGGAAGAAATAACAAATATTTGTTTATTTAATCTTTTGTAACAAGTAATTATTTATTTGAGTTTTGTATATATATATATCTAATAAATATTTTTCTATATATTTATTTATTAGAAAAATAGAGAGAGAAATATTATTATATATTTTACCCTCCGAATAGGAGTAGAAACCAATGAAATTGACAAGATCAAGCGAAACATGGATCAAATTTCTCTTTTCCCTTAAAAAAGAAGAAAAGAGAAACTTAGAGAAACGCAAATGCATTTTCGACGCATTCTTTGCAACGTCGACGGTTACAACAGGCCGTGTGAGCGCAGTGCGTTACAAAAGAGAAATATTTTATCAGCTTACCGTCCTTGATCATTCTCTGTATCACAGTCACCATGTCCTGTATCTCTTTGACATGAAAATCATTGTCCGTATCTGGCGGCAGTCCGAAATCTGATCTTCAACGGTCAAGGAGAGATCTTTTTTTCTTTTCTTTTTCTTACGCGTATGCGATAAAATCGACTCTTATATCGCGACGGCGACGTGCGCGAATTATACACGCACGCCTCGAGAAACTCTCGCCGTCTGCGAGAAACAACAGCGAGTAGTCGGAGCACGATCGAAAGTCGCGCGCGCGCGGCCGCCTCTCGCGACCTTTGTGCCGCGTGTGCTGATAGAAATCCATCAGAAAAGGAAATCGTCGTATTTTTATAGACGCACACATGCACACACATACATACACACACACTTTCTCTCTCTCTCTCTCTCTCTCTCTCTCTCTCTCTCTCTCATTCGAGCTTCTTTTCTCGCTTATCGTTAGAGAGGCTGCAGACGTTAGTAATACTACAGATACGAGACACGTTGCAAGAAAAAAGAAAAAAAAGATAAGCACGATATAAACGATGACAGTCTACAAAAACATGAAATCCGCTCCGACTGCTCCAAGAGGACATGACGAAACACGTGAAGAAGCCGATTATAAATGACACCAGTGTCACTCCGCACATGCGACCTTAACGCTTCCACAAACTTTACGTAACAACGGCGAAAGAGCACGCGGCGCAGCATACAAAAAAAAGGAACATTTTATAGCGCAGAATAAAACCGATTGATTGCATGATAGGAGTAAAGTCGCATCGCCGAGACGCGGAAGAAACGCGGCTGTAGTAGCGCGCGCGCGCGCGCGCCTTGGCGAATATAACGTTGTTACTGGACGTATAACGCGCGAACGGGAATGCGAGAGCGTTACATACCCTATGGTTTACAAACTGGCAAATGAACGAGTACACCCAGGTACGTAATAGCCGGGTAGCGGCGAGGCGGCGTTACGTGGTGCGACAGCGAGTTCCTGGGCGGGCGAACGGACGGATGGACCCACAGACGCGCGCGTATGCGGATGTGGGCGAGAACGGACGAGAAGAGCGAGCGAGATCGAAAAGTGGAAGTCGACTCGAGAAAATTGTACAAGTCCAAACTACGCGCACGACTGATAATATAATATACATATGTGTCACGTGCGCTCGTCACTGGCCTGTTCTCGATATCTTCGTTAGAAGGCTGACCTTTAAACCGTATTCCGATAAGACGGCATAAATCAGACGCGTGGCCGGCCAAGCTTTTTCTCAAGTCATCTGATCGTTACTGCCTATAACGAACGTCGCTTGCACGACGTTTCCTCCCGTCCCCCTCACGCCGCTGTCCCTGCCTCCCTGTAAGGTAAAAGTATCCTAACGTTACTGGATACTAATAAACATTGGCGCCTAACATTCTTATCGTTTTGGTCTTTAAATATAAATATTTGAACTTTCAATACAGAATATATATATATATTTTTTAATATGTGCGTGTGTATACATAGATACATATATTCTACGTTGGAAGTTTAAATATTCGTACACGGAAAGAATTTTATAGTGAAAACTATTTTATTGTAGGATTTTGTGATTGAGAAGTAGAGAAGTTTACATTCTGCAGAAAATCATTCTCTATCCCTTCATTTCATGTGTATTATTTACATTTTAGCAAGTGAAGTGTGCTATTAAAACATTTGATATGTTTCTAGCGAAATTTATTATGTTCCCCTTTATCAGATAGACTTTACTAAGGGACTGCTAGAAACGTAGCAAAATTGAAAAGAATTTGTATGAAAAGAAAGAAGAATTATAATATTCTCTTCTCTTTTCTTAAAAACAAAACAATGAGAATGTCGAAGGTTAAATACCCAATGTTATCAGTGTCCAGAGGCATTGGTATTTTTACCTTGAATATGATTCGAAAATAACCTGGTTTTAGAGACGTGAATAGTGAGAAATTGGGAGACGACATTCACACACAGATCATCTTGCCAAGCTCGGCGAGGAGAAAGTTAATAAGAAGATCCGCGGGAATTGTTGTCAGATCTTAGCGCGAGTAATCCTAAAAAGACAACTTTTGGACGTACAAACGTTAAGTATGTCGCTGCAGCAATGTATTTTCGACTAGGAAAGACGCACGGCGAGGCACGGATTAAAGATACGGCGCTCTCTCGTGATTGAACGTCAAGCACGAACGAAACAGAGTGGAAATAACACTTCTGCGACCCCCTAATATCGCGCGGTCCCTTGTATCATCGTTCGTCTTTTTTTTTTCTTTCGTTTCTTTTCCTTTTCGCTTTCTCGTATGAGCCGCGAGCATTATCGTCGTTGAGGAGGTTGTTGACGAATTAAATGAATATCACGCCTGTACTTAATAATCGTCCAGTCCTTATCTGCGACTTGGGAGCTGACACGTGAAGCGACACTTTCAGAATTCTAATGACGACAGCGTGTCAACGATTTCGAAAGAAAGAACGCTCAATAGCTCGGATAAACATGGCTGCGCCATGAACAACGCGGGAGAAGTATATCAATCATAATCTCTGACTAATCTAACGTCGCTATCTGCGACAGTCTGTATTGATAATGCTCGCAAATAAAATACTCTGCGAAAGTGGCGGAATGAACACAAACTATCGACGAATTTCCCGACTAACTGAGAAATGAGTCAGATAAATCAATTCTCAGGCACCTCGTGCGCAAATACTCGCATGAATGACGCACACAGTCGGTTGTACACAACGGTTTAAACATATGAAGTTGGGGGCCACAAAACTGTCAAAATTGGGAATTATTACTGACGGGCTTGCCAGGTGTATTGTATTATTAGTAATAATAATTTTCATCAATTGTTGTTACTGTTATCTATTTTAGGGAAGAAGAGATGTTATTCTTAATTACACCACTAATTATATTATTGTACGAGTCTGTCGGAAATGACTTTCAACATTGACAATTCAGTTCCCAATTCATTATGTTCAAACAGTTTTGCAATCCATTGTACGTGACGCATATGTACGTGTACGTATGTGTGTGCGTGCGTGTATATGTGTGTGTGTGTATGACAAGTACGGTTCGTTCGCAAGAAGCAACGTAGAAAATTGAAGTCATGGACCGGCTAATCTTAACGTGACTCGCGCTGGACTGGCTAGTGACGATCGACGCATATGCGTGCACATTCTCTCTCTCACACACACACACACACGAACGCGTGCGTGCGCACACACACAGCAGGTGTCGGCTCAGCGCAGGTGGTCTTGTTTTATTAACGCCAGGTAGGTACAACACGGCGAGCCGAATACGAGGAAGGAAGGCTGCAATATACCGTGCAGAAACGGCGTGAATCCAAATCGAGGTCGAATTTATGGTGACGAAGACAGGAACTGGCTCGCCCCAGGCGTGTCGAATGACATTACTGAAGCCGTCGCTGCTGGTTCGCGAGGGAGATCGCAAAAGCCGCGGGATTCGAATCACCATTGCATTAGATTCAAAATACGTCCGGCGTGTCGAAAGGGTGAGGGAACGTCGCCCGCGGAGACGCTTCAGTGCCGAGCGAGATCAATCGCGCGCGGGGACGTCTTATTATTCATTCTGTCCAGACGCGATTCCGCGACGCCTTGCGAGAAATTTGAGACGTTCGCCGAGTAAAATGCGAGCGAACGATAGCGCGGCGACATGCACACCCTTATCGAGTCGATTGGATCTCCTCGGCGAACAGAGATTAACATCGACCGGTTTAATCGTCGAGTCGCTTGGACACAAGCGAAAAATGCGAATCTCGTGCACAGTGATGAGTAACAGAAGCTTACTCGGCAATTCCACGATTGATTACGTCGCTGAGTATAAAGTTTGCAGCCTTCCAGATCGAGAATCGGGCACAAAACTCGCGTGTTTCAACGTAGACCGCCGGCATGGGGGATAAGTACGTATTCCGCTTTGTGCCACTTCGGGGCTAGACAGCGTTAAAAACTCACGTGTTGACCACGAGGATCGAGAGAGGAGACTACTGGCCGTACGAAAGACGACGCTACGGACTGCGACGAGTGATTTCCTTTCTTTATCTTCTGAGCCAGTCTCCGTCTGTGAGGCTATGACGACTCCGATTGATCTATCCGCCACAACGGGATCGTGAGCGACGTGAGCACGGTTGAAACGGTCGCGCTGTAATCCGCGGCAGAACAGAAGCGCAGCAGCGACGAATGTGACACGTGCACACGTGTCTCGTATGACCGCAAGGACTGACTCCGGTCGAGAAACGACGATCGACGCGGATCGTGGTGTTGTCGGGGACCGCGTCGTGCGTGCCTCGCGCGTCGTGCACTTCCGTCGCGCCGCCTGACGGCCACGCCGCACAAAATCTCTCGCGCTGGAGATACGCAAACGGCCCGGCAACTACCTCGTCGACCGCGCCGGTAAATTATGATAAAGCGATTAATAGCGGCCATTATTACTTGGCTAATCGTATGCGGCAGTGGTGTGTCAAATATAATCCAGCGGTTTCGCGAGTCGAGCACGACATGAGAGATATTGGACAAAAATGTCCTCCAAAGATAAGTCTGGAGTCTACTAGGCCACTTTTACCAAGCTCCGGTTAAACTGATCGTTTTTAGTAACCTTACAGGATTTCAACTGAAGCTGCTAGCGAAATGCAAAGTGAGGAGTTATAAATGTGGATTAATAACGTTACACGTAAAAGCACACGTCCTAATATGATAGAAAATTTAGTTAGGACTTTTTATGCTTAACTGTTACTAATTTATATTTATAAATCGCCACTTTCCAGTTTTTCTCCAATAGCTTTAGTTAGAATTCTGCAGGTTTACTAAAACGGTCAGTTTGACCAGAGCTTGTGTATGGTAAAAGTGGCTCTAAGAAGATCAAGACATCGTTCGTGACGAAGGCAGCCCTCGCTTGGCAATTTTTGCGCGCAAAAAGGATACATTGAAGCATCTCTTGCACTCCGAGAGTCGATAACTCTCCATGGGAGGAGTAGCACGCCACAAAGTCCTTTCGCAGGTCGTAAAAATGGTTGTAGTGCTCCGGCAGCTCGATGTCCTTGTTGCAGGCTTCGGGATGCAGGCATTGTCTCATGGGCGCTTGACCGTCCACCACGAATTTAGGTGTCCCGCCAGATGTGACGCAGGACATGGACGACCACCAGGTCTCAAACTTAAAACAGAAGAGGCGCCACGCAACATTAGATACGTGTACGAGTGTGGTGTCTTAGTGGCAGTCTACGATATGCGGGGTAAGCTTGGAGTAAGTTGGAGTAAGAAGTAAAAATTATTTTTCGATTTTTTTAGAATTTTAAAATTTGAATCTTAGAATTTAGAGTATAAGCAAAATAAATTACTTACATTTTTTGCTCTAACTTACGCCAAGCTTACTCCATATAATGCAGGCTACTAAGTGAACATTTGCACGACAGAACACCGACTGCCAGTACTATCGACACGCATATTCTCAGAGGAAGTACTTTACGCTTTTACCGCTGCTATATTCTCGACATTCGTCAACTTTCCTCGTCGAGTCCAGGATTAAGACCAAAACTTTTCAATTCTTTTCGCAGAAAATTTTCAAAATTTAATAACGTCCTTGTTAAGAACTTTTCTAACAAAGAATATTTTGTGTCTCACTTTCAATATTCGACTTCAAATATTTAGTATGAAATGATCAAAATTTATTTGTGGGATAAAAGTTTATTTCGCATAAGGAAATTTTATCTCTCTCATCTCACAAATAAATTTTTAAGTATTCTTTTCTCAGCGCAAATGATGTTAAACAACACGTCAGATTCTATGATAAATTTCCTGTCCATGAATATCTCGTTACAAATAATCTCCCTCTTCCTCCGTCTCTTTTTCGCAGAGATAAAATTTGCACAGAAGTACAGAGTTGCTTTCCTCTTTTTCACGCGAGAGCGAGCAATTAATTAAATTAATTAGATTAAATTAATTAGATTAAATGGGAGCTCAGAAGTGAAGACTTCGATTTTGGAAACTGAGTCCCGTTTGTTATTGTTAATACGATAAACAAGCACCTGTTCGATGGCCTGCTGCAGAGAGATGCCGTGCTCCCGAAGATTTCGTTCAGTCAAGGCTGGAGCGTGTGCCAATGCCGCGTCGCTAATGATCCCGCTACTTCCGGCAACCGCTGGGTTGTCGCTACCGGTCCCGGGTGTACAACTGTCTTCCATTACCATCGGTCGCACGATGTACTGTTGCCTGCCTAGCACCTGCCAAGAATCAGTCGCCTTGTGAGACATTTATGTGCTTTTGCTTCGCAAACGCAAATACCTTCGTGTATTCTACAAAATTCGCTCGTGTTCACACTTATTCATATGAGGAAAAAATATGTAAAGAATTATACATATTTATTCACTTATTCTATAAATATTTATTCATATATTTTGAGAGAAGAAATATGTAGAGTAGTAAATATTTATGGATGGATACTAATAACATATAGTATTTACTTAATACTTAAATCTAAATTCTTTTATCTAAATATGTAGAATAAACAATTGATTTTACGAAAAGCTAAAGCTTCCTAAAGGTTTTAAGAAAATGTATATTCTTTTATTTGAAAAATTTGTTATATTGATATAAAAACACGGTGAGAAAACAAAGTATAGTTGACCCACACGTACTGTTTTTTTTTTTATGTAAATATGTAGTAGAAAAAGCCACCAAATAATTACCACCAAATATTTATTATTTAATATTTCTCCTCTTACTGTACAATCTACATTTCTATCTTCACACCAAATGCATTTTCTTTATTGTTATATTTATTATTATTGATATTTCTATATAATTATTTTCTTTACTCACATCCATCTATTAAGTTTTGTGTTTATTGCACGAAGGAGAAAGATCAAATTAACACATCAACGACACAACTCAGAAATAGACAGAATTTCCGATTCTCATGAAGCCAATTCGATTCTTAAGAACCGCAAATTTTATTTCCTACAAACAGAATGCATTTAATTGCGTCACGTTAATTTAACAATCTTTTTTTTAGAATCTGAAGTTCCACAAGCAATTCTGTCTTCAGTCTTTCTGTTTTTTAATCGAGGTGCAGAACCAGACGGTCTGACTTGCGGCACAGCGCGGTCAAGGTCGCACGCCTTCTTGCATCTTGAACTCGACCGATGCATTCCGTGGTGCATCGATAATGCACCGCGATTAGCGGTATTAGCGCATGCAGCGCGCCTGCAGCGAGAACCTTGCACTTCCGCGAACTGCAGCGATACGATGATTGCATATCAGAAGGGGCGTCGCGCTTCTGCATCGCAACACGTTGCGTACTGCACTCTCTTTCTCTCTCTCTTTCCTTCTCTCTCTCTCTCTCTCTCTCTCTCTCTCTCTCTTTGGTCTCCTATGCAGCCCCGTATTTCCAGGGCGCAACTATATACACTTGTTTGCATATATAACGGAAACATTATCTTTTTCCAGCGCTTTGACACTTGTCCGCTCATCATCAGTACACGATGGTGAGGAAGCACGTGAACGAAATATCTCATGCGTTGGCCTCAACACGCGATTTATCAGACACGAGATTTCTTTCGTGAGCAATGCGCAATGCGTTAAGAATGCGTCGTCGATGTTCTCCGCTTGATAATTCAAAACAATGCCTCTCAACGTAGTCCGTGTGACCGACCGTGAGGTCAAGGCCTATCTCTAAGGGACCACACGCAGACGAAAGAGAGAGAAAGAGTGAGTGAGATAATACTGACGAACACAACAAAAGGTCATGTAAGGGACATAAAAGGACAGCAGCGAGCATTTTCTGAATGAATCGCGCAAAAACGACTTTTCAATCTATCGACTATCAGCGATTATGATGCAGAATACTGCACGGGGGTAGATGCAATTCAGAAGCAGGTATCGTATCTTATCGTAGGTAAACAAAAATGTATAAATAGTCACATCGGCAACTTATATACGCGAAATCTGGAGATGGAAGGATTCTCTCGGAGGATTCGGATACAATTATAACAACTCATATCCATTTATCCGAGACTTGAATAAACTTATGTAAAACTGCAAAAGTAGAATCAAAAAAGTAGAACTAAAGGACTTGAAGTGAAAGTGAGAGTTGAAGAGAAAGGATTGTACACAGGAAAAATATTGCCATAAAGTGTTACGTTACAATTATATTTCTTTTTGCAATGCTCTTATGAAGTTGAATTTTGCTAAATTTGCAGAGTGTATATAAATTTCTATAGAAATAGTAAACTTAACGATCTATATACGCGGTATGAAAAACACTCAAGTGATTGTTACAATCTTCTAGTAAAAAGTGGATAACGTACATAACGTACATAACGTTTGTAAAGAAATACGTAGTATAATTTCGATCATAATTCTATCGCAGATTACAAAAATTTTGCGTTTTTTGTAAGTTGTAATGTGTGTGTGTATATATAATTGTAATTGTTACTGCGATATTTTTCCTATATGAGAAATGCATGCATTCCGATGAATTCAGAAGCCCGTCTCCTTGAAGAAGTCTTCTTTCGCCTGTCTTCTTTCGCGAAATCCTACCTCGACATCGTACGAAACTTCTTCGAAATTGCACGTCGGCGTAAACTTTTGTTTTTGACACAGTCTAAGAGGAGCTTAAGGTAAAAGCGACAGACGAAGTATAAAAGCCCCTCGACCTTGCTGAGCCCGCATATCTTTTATGCAGGTACACGTAAGTACTAAATCAGCATGAGTATACGCGAACGGATAATATGCACATCGCACGAGTGCCTTCAGCAAGTATACACCGGCGCAGTTATACAGGGTGTCCTGGAATTATTAATACCATCCGACGAGTAACACAGCAGTGGTTCCTGAAGCGATTGTAGCATTCGTGGCAGATTACGTCCGTCATAAGTCGCCGTTTCACGTTATCGTGACATTTTTATCCGCTTAATCGATCGGATCGTGCCTCGTAAATCTACGGGTATCGACTACATTCCCGATTACTGCCGCTGCTGAAGTCTGCTAAATGTACACTTTGTATTCCGAATCTATTCAAATATTCGGAGACTGGAATGTCAATGAAAGCCGGTTTTAATATATCCGAATGTGCTTACGGTTTTGCAGGAACCAATCGCAATTTTCCAATTCTATACGAAGAGGATTTCACAGCGAAAATTACTGTAGAATTTTATAAGCGAGGAACAGATCGACGTACTGCAGTAATTTGTTGTTCTTTTATTTTGTATGTACACTGAGAAAAAAATATTAAAAAATTAACAAATATTTATTAGGTGAATGCCATTAACATATTTATTTAAATCAAAATTTTTTTCATTTAAACCGAGTATTGTTTGCTCGGTTTAAGTAGACGATATTCGGTTGAAACGAAGGAAATTTTGATTGAATTTTACTGAATTTTACTCAAATTATCTGGCGCAAGGGACAGAATTTACTCGATGGTTGTGTAATTGCATAAGATTTCATACCAAAGTGATTCAAGTGTTGCATCGGCAACGATGCAAGTTTGCTTTGCAGATCGTATAAAAATCTTTGACTCGGATTCCAACGATGCGACGCTTAGGATTGGAATATTTATAGCTTTGTTCACGATGCGTGCGCGACGTCGGTATCGCGCGATCCGCGCAAGAAACTTAATAGACAGGTTCTTTGACGCGGCGGGGTTAACGGATCAAGGTGGTTCTGCAAGGCGATTCATCGTCATCGTTGCGCTGCGCGAGCTCAGATTAGCGTCTCTCCGCCGTCGGTGGCGCGTATTGATGAAAAGCCGTGGCGTAACAACGAAAAAGAAGAGAGATCTCTCTCTTTTATGGCGTTACGTAAATTTTAAGTCGCTCGGCCTCCGCAGGTCCTTCAGTGTGCGCGTTAGGAATAATTTCCGAAACGAGAAAACTTGCCAACCTTCGCGAAAACGTGCGTCTACTTCGAAACTGCATCTTAACGAGTGAAGAACGTGCCCCTCGGAGATTCGACGCTTTCGCACGAAGAAACGGCGCATTCCGAAAATATACGATTCCACTCGGAGAGAATATTTAATTTTCCTTCTCTTTTGTACAAATTCTTTTTAATTCTACTATGTTTTTAGTAGCGCAGGAATAGACTCTTGTCGATACACACAGAAAAAAACTCGACTGTAGGAAGAGAAAAATTCCTTTATGAGGCTTCTGTATAGTCAATTGTTTTTAATTGCTTCAAATGAATTCTAATATCGCTGAATGTTCAGACGAATATTTTCGATTGCGACAACAGAAATATTAGCTTTCAAAACAGAGATATCGCTTCTGATCGCCTAATTTTCAGTTGGTTCCTATTCGCTTGCAACTGAGATTTTTTTGCATGTATCATGAGGTCATTATATACATAAAATTTGTTCAAAGTACATTCTAAATCTTGGGTTTAGCATTTCAATTAAGAATATTGAATTAAAATAAATTCGGTATACTTACTAAGTAGAGTCAAACCAAATTATTTTCGAAATATATAAATCTATTATAAAAACACACATCAAATTTATTCAAGATACATTCTGAATCTTAATAAGTTTAGCATTTCAAAAGAGAATGTTAAAATAAAAAAAAATTAATTTGCTTATTACGTAGAATCAAATCAACTTTTTGTTCAATAGAATTTTATGATATTCTTGTAAAGTTAAAATTAGTAAATTTCTTTTTTGAATACATGATAATGAGTTTTTCTCAAGTCTGCGATGCGTATATTTGAAGAGCATTATCAAGAAAATATCCTTTGTTGAAAACACTCATTACTTCAAAGAAGGAAAGTAAACTGAGTAATCGCTTTTCTCAACAGTAGAATTATATTTTTCTGTGCACATGCATATGTGTGTATATGTGTGTTGTTAATTCTAGCTGACGTACGTCGGGGTGTCTTTCGTGAAGGTACACGCAAGTACACGTAAGTAGCGTGAGTAAATATACGATAGCGTGCACATCGCGTGAACGTGCGTTCTTTTCGAAACTGTACCGCAAGACGAATGAGGAATATATGCCACGGAATTCCGAGAGACATTCCCACGCACGAACGTTGAGGTGGCGAGTCTCGAAAACGCGCGATTCTAGTTGGCCAGCTTTTAAGTACTTAAAAAGAGAAATGAAACTATTTCGACAATGGACAGAGGCTGAAACGAGTTTTTGGAGACTTGTGTGTAACGTAGTTGCCGCCGTCGCAGAATCAATTAAGACGCCCGCGTATGACCAATAACATTCGTCATGAGGGGGAGGTA